ATAACCCAAGCGCATTTATTAGACAAGACAAAAAAAAAAAGTCCTAGCATCAGTACAGTAAAATAAAACCAAACAAAGAATTTTTTCAAACATCAAAGTGCAAATCAGTGAGTCTGCAAAGTAGTAAACTTGATTAGAATATCTAAGACTTTTATTTTTTTATAATGGAATATTTCAACCCTATTGAAAGGTAGAGATTAGTATAATAAAGCTTCATATTCTCATCAAGTGGCACAATTATCAACTCTGAAACAATTTTGCTTTTATAGTCACCCCCTTTTGACATCATCACTGGGTTATTTTGTTTTTTTTGGTTTTGTTTTTTTTTATAATTTTATTTATTTATTTATTTTGTGTGTGTGTGTGTGGCCAGCTCAGCCCACCAGGGGGCGCGGCTGGCTGGCATGTGGCGCTGGGGGATTGAACCGCGGTCCCTGTGCTTTGGTTGGCTTAGCTTGTTCTAAGTAGGTGCTTTAGACCACTGAGCCATCTCACCAGCCCAAAAATGGAATAATGGTTTTTTTGTTTGTTTGTTTGTTTGTTTTTGTTTTGGTTTGGTTTTTTTTGTTCCTCGAATGCCTTCAGGGTGCTTTTGGCCAGGGGGAGAGTTGTGAGGTTCGAACTCCAGCAACCTGAGGCTGACAGCTTTGTGGAAGCAGCCACTGAAAGGACTGAGCTAGGGCCAGGCCCCCCCACTGGGTTATTTTGAAGTAAGTCCCAGACAAAACAGCTCATCAGTAAATATTCATATATATATTTCAAAATGCAAATGACTTTTTTTGGTGATAGTACTCAGGGTTGAATGCAGGGCCTTCCCACTGAGCTACATCCTCACCCCTTTACTCTTCTATTTTGAGATAAGAGCTGCTAAACTACCCAGACAAGGCTTAGATTTATGATCCTCCTGCCTCAGCCTCCCAGAGTGCTGGGATTACAGGGACATGCTGTAATGAGAAGCCCATGATAGATTTTGCTTTTTTGAGACAAGGTCCAGGCTGGATTTGAACTTACTGTGTACCCCTGTCTGTCCTCAAACTCATGATCTTTCTACTGTAGCTTACTTCCTGAGTGCTAGGATTATAGGCATGTGCCATCATGCCTAATTGGTGATTTTTAATTTTTTTAAAATAATTTTATTTATTTATGTGTGTGTGTGTGTGTGTGTGTGTGTGTGTGTGTGGCCAGCTCAGCCCACCAGGGGGCGGGGCTGGCTGGCATGTGGTGCTGGGGGATTGAACCGTGGTCCCTGTGCTTTGCTAAGCTTGTTCTAAATAGGTGCTTTAGACCTATTTAGAGCCATCTCACCAGCCCATAATTGGTGATTTTTTAAAGGTCACTACTTACCATTATGAGACTAAAGATAAATAATTCCTAAAAGTCACCAAGTAATAAATATTCAAGTTTTTCTAGTTGTTTCTTCAAAGTCATAATAGTTAGTTGAAGTCAGGAACCCTACAGATGTTTGTTGTTTACAATACTTCTTAAATTTTATTCCTTTTCTCCTTTCTTTTTCATATAATTTATTTGTGGAATTCAAATTGTCATGTACATGAAAACATTCTGAATTTTCTAGATTTATCCTCAATATGTTAGCAAGTTCCTCTCTCTCTTGTATTTTCTGTAGGCCAACACTTAGATCTAGAACAAATCTGGCTTTAGGAAATCTCAGTGAAAACAGACCAACTAGCCAGATGCAGTAGTACATGCCTGTAATTCCAGCTTTTAGTGATGCTACAGAGAATGATTGTACATCAAGAAGGCAAAAATATTTCAGCAAGGAATACTAGGCCAGTGTGGGCAATTTAATGAGCTGGATGGATGGATGGATGGATGCATGCATGGATGGATAAATGATAGATTATATAGAGACAGACAGAAAAGAGAGACAGCTAGGAATGTAGTTCAGTGCAAGTCCTTGGGTTCAATGCCCAGTACTACAAAAACAAGAACAACAATAAAACAAATTTTTGAAATCAAATGAAGGGGAAAAAAGTTTTTTTTTTTTTTTTTTTTTTTTTGCCAGCTCAGCCCACCCTAAAGGCAGGGCTGGTGTGGCATGTGGTGCTGGGGATCAAACCGCGGTCACTGGGCACTTGCCTAAGCAGGTGCTTTAGACCGCTGAACTATCTTGCCGGCTCCCATAAAGGGAAATTTTTGAAAAATTAAGGATGGAAGAGTAAACACAATTAATGTTATAAAAGATGTTAAAATACATGTAAGAATACTAGGTAAACCAGTAGGCCCACACCCACCACGTGACATGACTATCCACCAACTCCAAGCCAGCTCTGCATTTTGCTTCCCCTTGGCCCAGGGCAGCAGAGGTGCAGGGTAACCAAGTAACCTGGTCCTGAACAGGTACAGTGCTCAGGGAGAGGAGCAAGTACGGGCCGACCTGGCTGGCACCTTGAAGATTCCAGTGCTGCACTCCCACGGTGACTGGGAAGAGGGAGCCACCAGAGATCCCGGCGGAGTGGGAGTGGAGCAAACACAGGCACTCAGGAGAAGTATAAGCGCTGGCCCTGCCCTCTATAGAGAACAACCAGGTCCCCTGAGCAGCAACAGGAAGGCCCACTGTCCAGCTGAATCCCCACGCCCAGCCTATAGCCCACACGGACCCAACGATGCCTCTCCCATTTACCAACATGAGCAAGGACACATCTTGGATTGGGGGGCCCAGGCCGGAGAGAGTGAACGGTGGGGCCTTGGGTGCACGGAGAGTTCCTCAGAAACCCATAGGCCTAAAATCTAGAAGGAAAAATAAATGTGACTGGCTGGATCCTAAAACTGCAGATTCTGAAAAAAAAAAAAAAAAAAAAAAAAAAAACAGAGACGAGGCTGGGGAGATGGCTCAGTGGAATAAGTGCTTCCCTGGCAAGTGCAAGGGCCTGAGTTCAATCCCCGGTTCTGCAAAAAAAATTTAATTAATTAATAAAAAATAAAAACAGAAATTTTTTCTTCAACTTGATCTTTTACCTATTTTTTAAATTATTTTTTTCCTTCATTGGGTTTTCAGGAGTTGGATGGATTTTTCCTCCAACTTTTAGTTTATTTTCTCTCCATTTCTCCTTTCAATTTTTTCTCTTCCTTTGTATTTCCTGCATTTTGTTGGTTTTTTCTTTTTTCTGTTCACTCTTTCCTGCAGCTGTTTGCTAACACTATTAATTTCCTCTTACTCATCAGTAGAAATCCCATTTCCCTTTCCTCTCCTCCTCACATCCCATTGATTAAAACTTTTTTTAAACCTGTTTTTGTTTGTTTGTTGGAGATAGGGTTTCACTATGTCATTCAGAAATAGTCTTGAATTGTGATCCTCCTTCCTCAGCCTCCTGAGTGCTGGGACTGCAAGTGAGTGCCACCCCACCTGGCTATTAATTTTTAATTTTTTTCATTTTTTCATTAGGTGTGTAATCCCAAACCCAGGAAGGCTGAGGCAGAAAGATCACCTCAAGTTTGAGGAAAAAAAAAAAAAAATTGAGGCCAGCTTGGGCTGCATAGTGAGTTCAAAGCCATGTTTTTAACTTTTTCATCCTCTAGTTCTCCACCTCCTGTCTTTCCTAATATAACTACTGAACTATGAATCTGTAGATAGCTAGTTACATTTATGCTGCCGCTACTGAACACTGTTCTATTATTAGTAGAGGTAAGGTTCCATTTAGTTGATGTTTACTGTAGGTCAGTGGGAAGTCGCTATTATATTGTCTTAGTACACATACTGTAATCACAGATCTGTTTTCTATGTGGGTTTTTTTGTTTGTTTGTTTGTTTTTTTTTTTTTTTTTTTTGGTGGAACCAGGGATTGAACTCAGGCCCTTGCGCTTGACAGGCAAGCACTTATTCTACTGAACCGTCTCCCTGGCCCCAGTTTTTTATGGTTAAGGGTGTTACATTATTGGTCGTTAGTTTGTCAAAATTCAGTTTGTCTTTAATGCTATAATGGATGATGATTTTATTACTCCGGCCAAGATGACACAGTTGTTGTTACTGTTAATTGGTTTTCTTGGAATTCCAAGCTCTGTATTGCCTTGGGATCATTAATGATACTGAGACTCACTCCTTCCTGGAGAACTAGGTACTGAACCAAACATGCCGCACCTCTCATCCCTAGGCAGTGGGGTGGCTGGAGCCTTGGACAGACGGCAGAGGCCAATAGTTAGCCATGGGTAGAAGCCTCCAAAACTTCCAAACTCCCACAAAGCTGGTCCATGAGGCACCAAAGGAGAGAAAACCAAAAGCTGCACAGAAATTATTTAAAATTATATCCCCGGCAATAACGAAACAGATCAATAAGGCATTTAGCAAGATAGAAGTAAACTGATAATGGACCAAATAAGCAAAATGGCCATGGAATCTGATTTATTAGAAGACACTAATAAAAAGCTAGCAGAGCTAACCAAACCACAAACGACCAGCACAGAAAAGAATTAGAGCCCATAAAAAGGCTCCAGATGAAATTCAGGAGATTAAAAACTACTGAAAGTGGGGGC